GGGGGGCGCCGGGGGCCTGTGTGAGGGGAGCTCAGTGCAGGAGAGGCAGGGCCCCCTGTGAAGAGTCGGGACCTGGGTGGGGGGGGGGTTTCCTGAGGCGGAAATCAGTGCCCGGGGGCGGGGCCACCCCAACGCCCGCCAAGGAGCCCCCGCGCGCCGGCGGGGGCCGAGGGGCGGGGCCGAGGCCCGGGGGGCGGGGGTGCCCCGGGGGCGGGGGGTGCCCCGGGGGCGGGGGGTGCCCCGGGGGCGGGTCCGAGGCCGGGGGGGGGGGGCGGGGGGTACCCCGGGGGGCAGGGGTTCCCCGGGGGCGGGGTTCGAGGCCCGGGGGGCGGGGGTGCCCGGGAGGCGGGGAGCCCCGGGAAGCGGGGGGGCCCCGGGGGCTGGGGGGGCCCGGGGGGCGGGGGACTCCGGGGGGCGGGTCCGAGGCCTGGGGGACGGGGTGCCCCGGGGGGCGGAGGTGCCCCGGGCCGGGGTCTCAGGGGTCGGTGGGGCCGGTGGGGTGGGTGGGTCGGGGCTCGGGCTCGGGGCGGGCACTCACAGCAGGTCGGGCCGGTGCCGGTGCAGGATGGCGCAGAAGGCCAGGCCGTCCCGGAAGGAGCCGCTCAGGTCGCGCACGTCCACGCCGCGGTAGCCCTCGCACTGGCGGCGGCACCAGGCCAGCAGCGCGCCCCGCGGGCCCGCCATGCGCCGCGGCTCCGCCCGCCCGGCCGCGATCGCTCTCCCCGCGGCGAGGACCGGGGACCGGGGACCGGGGACGGGCGGCGGCGGGCCTGCCCGCGCGGCTCCCAGCTCCGGCGGCGGCGGGCGGGGCGGGGAGGAGGCGGGGCCCGGCGGCCGTCCTCGCCCGGCTCCGCTCCGGCTCCCCGCCCGCCCGGACCTGCCCGGACCCGCCCGGCCGGCCGCCGCCCACCCGCCGCCGCTCCCCGCGCTGTGGGCGCCGCCGCGTCCCCGGCCTGGGTCCCGCCCGCCGCCCGGAGCGGCCCGGGGGCGGCGGCCTGGGCCCCACCCAGCGCCGGCTCCGCCCCCAGCGCCCACCCTCACCCCCGCCCACAGCCCCCGCCCCTCCCCGCGGCGATCCCCACTCACCCCTCACTGTGGGGCCGCCCCGAGCCCCGAACCCCCCGCAGACCAGCCCGGCCCCGCAACGCTGCCCCCACCCGCCGCCTCCACCGCGCAGCCCGCCGGGAGCTCTCCCTTCCCCTCATCCGAGCCCCGCCCACTCCTGGGCCTGAGCTCCCACCTACAAACCCCCCAGCTTCCCGGTCTGAAACTTGGGGGGGCTTCTCCCCCAACTCAGGCCCGTCAGACGGTTCCCCTGCAGACTCCAACGCCCCCCACATAGCCACCTCCACCCTGTGTCACCCCCGAAACACCCTGCCTCAGTCCGCCCGGAGGCTCCATGCCGGGCCACACCAGCCCAGGGGTCCCCTCGGGGAGGGATTGAGCCTGACCACCTGCCCTGCAGGATTCTGACCCCAGTGTAGGCTCTGGGGTCGCCCCCTCCCCACTGGGCCCCTCCCCTGCCCTGATGAGGGCCGTGATGGGCTGGGCGGTGCTAGGGGAAGGCCCTGTGGGAAGCAGGCCCTTGTCTGGCGGGGCACTGGGTATCCGGCCTGGAGCCATCTCCTGCTCCCCCTTAGAGACCTGGGGAACGACCCCTCCCCAGGGCCGCTCCAGAGATGAATCAGCCTCCGCTGGCTGGCGGCCGGCCATGGCAGTGATGTCACCCTGACCAGCACGCTGCTGAGCCAGGGTAGGTCTGTGGCTGCACCACCCCAGCCCCGGGAAGGAGCGGGTCTTAGTCATCTGTCACCCCTCAGCCTGGGGGCGGGTGTGGAAAGAACAGGGATTTAGGAGTCACATGGACCCAGCCTCACATCCTGGCTTTTCCCACTCACCCCGCCATGTGATCTGGAGCCGCCCTGAACCCCTCAATTTCTATATCTTAAAAATGGGGATAATTTCTTTTTTGGGGGGTGGGGTGGTGATAATTTCTTTGCAGGGTGGCTGAGAGGATTAAGATGTGCCTGACCTTTAGGCATCAGTATTAATGCTAACTATTGACACCTGGTACCTGGCACATGTGGTAAAACGGATGAAGCATTTCATACCCAGCTTGTCACCTGAGCCTCGAATAAATTATCGAGCGGGGAGGTGGACTTAGGGAATCCCCCCTCCTGGAAGGCCGACTGAGCCCCAGCCCTGGGTACAACGATGGCCCAGGGCAGGGGACCCCAACTTGCCAACCTGGGCCAGCCTCACCCCCTGGATCTGTCTGAGGCTGGAAGGCCACCACCTAGGCCCCGAGTGTGGACCCTCGGGCTGCCATGGGCAGGCTGCCCCTGTGCTGTCACCCCTACCTGCTCTGTCCTCTCTGCGAAAGCAACTCCAGGAAAGGAGGGTTCCAGGTGCCCTCATTCTATGGGGGACTTGGCCTCGGGACCCTGATACCAGCACCCACGTTGGCCTTCAGAGTCCTCCAGGACTCTCATTAAAACCCTGTCCTCACCAGCTTAAGGTCCCCGAAGACAGCTCCAGGTCTGACCTTGACCCCATTGCCATATGGCTTCCATGGCAGAGCCCTCTGGGCTCCCGCTGGTCATTTGTTTGTGGGGTTTATAAACTCGTTCTTTGAGTCAGCTCATGGTGATAGGAAGCAAGAACCTGCATGACCACAACTGTGTGACCACAGGCCAGACAACTCACCTCTGCAAACCCCAATTCCCCCCCCCCCCCCGCCCCGCCTTTAGAACCAGGATAACGATCTTTGTTTTGCCTGTGTCCAGGGTTGTGGGTAAGCAGGTGAGATAATAGATGGAAAAATGCTGTGCAGTCTGTAAATCCGGGTCCCGGCGGCAGGAGAGGCTGTTTACAGGTGAGGTCAGAAGCCACAGGCAGCTGGGCAAGTCGGGTCACTGGCCCCAAGTGAGGCCGTAATTTCAGGATTAGGACCAAGGGCTTTGGGGCCGCCCTTCTGTGCTTTTCTTTGTTCTTAAACTGTCAATTAGAAGTGAATACATTCTTTAAAAAATTATTAAAGTAAAATAAAGCTGAAGTTCCTGCCTGACTGTCTCTCCCTCAAACCCAGCCCCTCCTAAGAAGTAGCCACGGTTGTCAGTTTGAAACTTAGCCTTCCAGGCCTTGTGCAGCACTCCCAGGACTCAACGAACACCGAGCATCTGAGCCCAGGGGCTCCTGTCCTCAAGGAATTTGAATTCTAGCTGGGAAGAAGGGCAGTAAACAAGGAAACAAATCATGCCCAGCCGCTGTGGCTCAGTGGTTGAGCATCGAACTATGAACCAGATCACACAGTTGGATTCCCAGGCGGAGGACATGCCCTGGTTGTAGGTTAGATCCCAGTGCGGGACCTGCAGGAGGCAGCCGATCAATGATTCTCTCTCATCATTGATGTTTCTATCCCTCTCCCTTCCTCTTTGAAATCAATTTAAAAAATTTTTTAATTAAATCAACAAGGATTATTTGAGATGGTGGGAGGTGCTCAGAAGGAAAAGAGCAAGGTGCTGTGATGGAGACCATGGGAACAGATAGGGTGGCCTTCAGAACAGCTGCAGGTCTCCTGAAGCGGGGCAGGATGCTGGCAGGGCAGTGAGACAGACTTCTTGCGACTTTTTTTTTTTTTTTTTAATATATATTTTTATTGATTTTTTAACAGAGAGGAAGAGAGAGGGATAGAGAGAAACATCGATGAGAGAGTCATCGATTAGCTGCCTCTTGCACACCTCCTACTGGCAATGTGCCCGTAACCAAGGTACATGCCCTTGACCGGAATCTAACCTGGGACCTTTCAGTCCGCAGGCCGACGCTCTATCCACTGAGCCAAATCGGTTTCAGCTTCTTGCGACTTTTTGTCCAGCACGCTGAGGAAGGAGGGGCAGAAGCTGGATGAAGACACACGGAACCACAGGGTGGGAGAAGTTAACAGGGAATGAGCCTGGGAATGAGTGAGTGAATGAATAACCACGACCTACGACCTACTGTTTACATTTTTCCCCCACACAGATCTCAAGGTAAGTTTCAGAAAGATAAAAGGGAGAGGAGCCGAAACCGGTTTGGCTCAGTGCATAGGCCTGTAGACTGAAAGGTTCCAGGTTCGATTCTGGTCAAGGGCATGTACCTTGGTTGCAGGCACATTCCCAGTAGGGGGTGTGCAAGAGGCAGCGATAGATGTTTCTCTCTCATCGATGTTTCTAACTCTCTATCCCTCTACCTTCCTCTATGTAAAAATCAATAAAATATATTTTAAAAAAAGGGAGCGGACCCCCATGGAGGGCCCTGGAGAGGCGGTGGGGGAAATGAACTCCATCATTGCCCTGAGAACCTCAGGCTGTGAGTCTACCTGGTTCTGCACCTGCTCAGAGGCCGGTGGACTCGGTGGGTTCATGTGTGCATGTGTGTTCCTGGGGGTGGAGGCAATGCCTCGCTGGCCCTATTTCACCCACCACCTACTCTCTGTGCCACTGAAGATCCTGGATGCGGGTGTCAGCCGCCCAAGGTTTGACGTTAACATCTACAGAAGGTAGGGATCTGCCCACCCTTGCATGCAGCAGGCCTGTTTCTGATATTTCTGTCCTCCAGAAATACTATCTCGGGGCCCGAGATGTATATACAAAGATGTTCATTGTTCACAGCAGAGCACTGGGACCAGCCTAATGCTCCTCAGGAAGGGACCGGTGATTCGGTCTCAGCACAGCTGGACAGCAGAGAAACCCGCAGCCGTTAAAAGAATTCATGCAAATACATTCTGAAGTGGGAAAGCAAGCTGCAGAATAACAACTATAATAGGAACCCGTTGTTGCAAACAGTATTACACCTCTATATGACATGTATGTTTATGTATCTAAACACTTCCAGGTGCATGTATCTGGCATGTTAACTCATCAAAGGCAGGCAGGGGTTAACGGTAGGTTGGGATTGATGGGTATGACAGGCTCACTTTTTATAAGTCACTACGGTTTGGATTTGTAAAAGACAACTTTTAAAAATAATTCCATAGCATAAAATTCACTCTTTTGAAGTATGCAGTTCAGTGGTTTTCAGTATATCCAGAGAACTGTGCAACCGTCACCCCTATTTCACTTAGAACATGTCCATTGCCCCCCAAACTCTGTACCCAATTTCCCCTCCCCTCGCCCCGCCTCTGGCAACCACCAGTCTCTTTTCTGTCTGAGCATGTGACTCCCCTAGGTGCCACATGCAGGTGGAAACCGTATGGGCTGCCAGTTAATCATGAATATCTTGCTCTGTCATTGTTAACACGTGGGGGGAATAGTCACTTTCACTTTCTCATACCAACATACATTGCTTGTGGTTTCACATTGCTAGAGGCAAATCAGGCTGTAGGGTGTTTTATTTTTCATTATTATTATTATTTTTAAATATATTTTATTGATTTTTTACAGAGAGAAAGGGAGATAGAGAGCTAGAAACGTCAATGAGAGAGAAACATCGACCAGCTGCCTCCTGCACACCCCCCACTGGGGATGTGTCCACAACCAACGTACATGCCCTTGACCGAAATCGAACCTGGGACCTTTCAGTCCGCAGACCGACGCTCTACTGCTGAGCCAAACCGGTTTGGGCATTTTTCATTATTATTTTTATTTTCATTTTGGGAGAGAGAAACATCTCCTTACACCCCTAACCAGGTATTGAATCTGCAACCTAGATATGTGCCCTGACCGGAAATAGAAGGCACAACCTTCCATTTATCAGTATTATTATCCTCAATAATACCGACAGCTCACCTTTATGAGCATTAGCCATATGGCAGACATTGTGTGTGTGTGTGTTTGTTGTATTACACTATGTAATTTTAAAACATCACACA